TTAGTAGTTATTAGCTCATAGTTTCAATGACATATGGAAATCATTAAGCGGAGCAGCAGGACATAGCTTTTTAATGACAGACATTTTTCTGTAGGAAGCAGTGGCAGTGGGAAATACCTTTCACTGGTGGTGGTTCAGGTTTCTTGGCAATGACGGCAGGTGGTTTCTTTTCTGGGACAGGTTTCTTAGGTGGCACGGTCACTAAAGATATTAGAATTTATGTTTTAGAATCAGTGAAGAAGAGTGAGAAACAAGAGAAAAGCCCATAATGCCCAGAAGTTTTGTGACAAGAAGAGCTAAGATTGGCAAAGGCAACCCAGCAGCTGGCCAGTACCTTTTGGAGGAGGAGCAGGCTCTGGCTCTTCCACGACTTCAGCTGGAGGCTCTTCTGGGGCAGTTTCCTCAGGCTCCTCATGCACTTTAAAGACACAAGCTCATTTTAATGCTAGAATTGACTAAAGTATATGAAATATTTTGCAAAAAGATTTTTACAGCACTAAGAAGAGAGTTTTTCTTTTTAAAAATACTGGTTTGGAGAGTTTCATGATTACCTGCTGGGGGAGTACTTTCCGGTTTGGGAGGAATAGCTTCAGGCACCTTCTTTTCTGGGACAGCTGCCTTTGGCACCTCCGGTACTTTAAAGAGATTAGTATTTTCATGATTAGCCAGAGTAAAGACAAACAGACAGTGTCAAACACAGCAACATGGAGGTGGCTACCTTTGGCTGGTGGGACTTCTGGCTTTTTAGGAGGCATCACATGTAATTTCTTCTCAGGGACAACTTCCTTGGGAGCCTCAGGCACTTAAGAGATATTAGTAAAATTACATTTAGGAGTTATGAGACCATGAGAGCAAAATGTTTTTGAGAGCAGAAGAGTTTTATCTTCTTAAATCCAAGGTGAGTGACAGCTACCTGTAACAGGTGGGACTTCTGGCTTTTTAGGGGGCATCACAGACACCTTCTTTTCAGGGACAACTTCCTTGGGAGCCTCAGGCACTTAAAAGATATTAGTAAATTATACTTAGGAGTTATAAGATCACTGGAACAAATATTTTCCAGAGAAGAAGAGTTATGTCTTTTTAAGCCCAAGATCAGTGACAAATACCTTCAGCAGGTGGGACTTCTGGCTTTTTAGGAGGCATCACAGGCACCTTCTTTTCAGGGACAACTTCCTTGGGAGCCTCAGGCACTTAAAAGATATTAGTAAAATTACACTTAGAAGTTATGAGATCACTAGAACAAATTACTTTCAAGAACAGAAGAGCTATGCCTTTTTAGGCCTAAGGTTTGTGACTAATACCTGTAAGAGGTAGGACTTCTGGCTTTTTAGGAGGTGCCACTGGTGCTTTCTTTTCAGGGACAACTTCTTTGGGAACCTCAGGCACTTAAAAGATATTAGTAAATTATACTTAGGAGTTATAAGATCACTGGAACAAATATTTTCCAGAGAAGAAGAGTTATGTCTTTTTAAGCCCAAGATCAGTGACAAATACCTTCAGCAGGTGGGACTTCTGGCTTTTTAGGAGGCATCACAGGCACCTTCTTTTCAGGGACAACTTCCTTGGGAGCCTCGGGCACTTAAGAGATATTAGTAAAATTACATTTAGTAGTTATGAGATCACTGGAGCAAACATTTTCAAGAGCAGAAGAGCTATGCCTTTTTAGGCCTAAGGTTCATGACAAATACCTGTAACAGGTGGGACTTCTGGCTTTTTAGGAGCCATCACAGGTACTTTCTTCTCAGGGACAATTACCTTGGGAGCCTCAGGCACTTAAAAGATATTAATAAAATTACATTTGAAGTTATGTGACCACTAGATCAAAATGTTTTCGAGAGCAGAAGAGTTTTATCTTCTTAAACCTAAGGTGAGTGACAGCTACCTGTAACAGGTAGGACTTCTGGCTTTTTAGGAGGCATCACAGGCACCTTTTCAGGGACAACTTCCTTGGGAGCCTCGGGCACTTAAAAGATATTAGTAAAATTACATTTAGTAATTATGAGACCAATGGAACAAACATTTTCAAGAACAAAAGAGTTATGTCTTTTTAAGCCTAAGGTTCATGACAAATACCTGTAACAGGTGGGACTTTTGGCTTTTTAGGAGGCATCACAGGTACTTTCTTTTCAGGGACAACTTCTTTTGGAGCCTCAGGTACTTAAAAGATATTAGTAAATTTACATCTAGTAGCTATGTGACCACTAGAACAAAATATTTTCAAGAGAAGAGTTTTATCTTCTTAAATCTAAGGTGAATGACAGGTACCTGTAATAGGTGGGGCTTCCAGCTGTTTAGGAGGTGCCACTGGTGCTTTCTTTTCAGGGACAATTTCTTGAGGAACTTCAGGCACTTAAAAGATATTAGTAGTTTTATGCTTAGCTTAAAGAGATCAATGGACTAAAAGTATTTCCAAGAGCAGAGGAGGCATTTCTTCTATAGAATAAAGACTGGGGTGAAAAATACCTGAAACTGGTGGGACTTCTGGTTTTTTGGGTGGTGCCTTGGGAACTTTCTTTTCTGGGACAACTTCCTGAGGAACTTCAGGCACTTGAAAGATATTAGTAGTTTTACGGTTAGGTTAATGAAGAGCAATGGACTAAAATCATTCTCAAAAAGTCAAGAGACATTTCTTCTGCAGAGTGATGTCTGGGCCAACATGTACCTGTGACAGGTGGGGCTTCCGGTTTTTTGGGTGGTGCCTTAGGAACTTTCTTTTCTGGGACCACTTCTTGAGGAACTTTAGGCACTTGAAAGATATTAGTAGTTTTACGGTTAGGTTAATGAAGAACAACAAACTAAAATCATTCTCAAAAACTCAAGAGATACTTCTTCTGCAGAGTGATGTCTGGGCCAACATGTACCTGTGACAGGTGGGGCTTCCAGTTTTTTGGGTGGTGCCTTGGGAACTTTCTTTTCTGGGACAACTTCTTGAGTAGCTTTAGGTATTTGAAAGATATCAGCATTTTTAGAATTTGGGAACAGTGTAGGCATATGTTACAATATTCATGAAGAGGACAAGACAATATATATTCTTAACACAGCAGTGGGAATAAATACCTTTAGCAGGTGGGACTTCTGGTTTTTTGGGTACAGCCACTTTCTTTTCAGGTACAACTTCTTTAGGAACTTCAGGAACTTTGAAGATATTAGTATCTATTAGTTGAAACTATAAAATGGGAATATCGACAACACATTTGCCCAAGCAAGTATCATTTATGAAACTGGCGGACACTTCTAAACACTTTTTCCCAGTCCCCAAAACAGGAGACCAACAACACGGAAGGATAAATACCTTTAGCAGGTAGAGCTTCTGGCTTTTTAGGAGGAGCCACAGGCACTTTCTTCTCAGGGATGGCTTCCTTTGGTGGCACCTCAGGCACTTAAAAAATATTGGTAATTTGTGTTTAGAAAAGGTGGAAATAATGAACGACTATATCATGCAATCATACACCAAGATATATTCGATTACTGACAACTCTTCTTTCTTTAGAATTATATCGCCTTTATGTACTGGGATTTATACATATCATTTTTTTCTAGCTAAAATAGCAGTTATTTTTCTCCCTGGTATGTACAGCATTGTCATTACCTGCTGGGGGAGGACTTTCCGGTTTGGGAGGAATAGCTTCAGGCACCTTCTTTTCTGGGACAGCTGCCTTTGGCACCTCCGGTACTTTAAAGAGAGCAGTATTTTCATGATTAGCCAGAGTAAAGACAAACAGACAGTGTCAAACATAGCAACATGGAGGTGGCTACCTTTGGCTGGTGGGACTTCTGGCTTTTTAGGAGCCATCACAGGCACCTTCTTTTCAGGGACAACTTCCTTGGGAGCCTCGGGCACTTAAAAGATATTAGTAAAATTACATTTAGGTGTTATGAGACCATGAGAGCAAAATGTTTTCGAGAGCAGAAGAGTTTTATCTTCTTAAATCCAAGGTGAGTGACAGCTACCTGTAACAGGTGGGACTTCTGGCTTTTTAGGAGGCATCACAGGCACCTTCTTTTCAGGGACAACTTCCTTGGGAGCCTCAGGCACTTAAAAGATATTAGTAAATTATACTTAGGAGTTATAAGATCACTGGAACAAATATTTTCCAGAGAAGAAGAGTTATGTCTTTTTAAGACTAAGATCAGTGACAAATACCTTCAGCAGGTGGGACTTCTGGCTTTTTAGGAGGCATCACAGGCACCTTCTTTTCAGGGACAACTTCCTTGGGAGCCTCGGGCACTTAAGAGATATTAGTAAAATTACACTTAGAAGTTATGAGATCACTGGAGCAAACATTTTCAAGAGCAGAAGAGCTATGCCTTTTTAGGCCTAAGGTTTGTGGCAAATACCTGTAACAGGTGGGACTTCTGGCTTTTTAGGAGGTGCCACTGGTGCTTTCTTTTCAGGGAAAACCTCTTTGGGAGCCTCAGGCACTTTGAAGATATTAGTACATTTACATTTGAGTCATGAGGATCAACACAGACAAGAATCACATTTACACAGCAAAAGCACTTTCAAGGCTAGCAAGGCAGTTCTTTCCACAGCCCTCTCTATTCCCTCCTGAGGGGTTGTTAGGATGTACCTTTGACAGATAAAACTTCAGGCTTTTGGGGAGCATGCACTTTCTTTTCCCAGACAACTTCTTCGGGCACCTCAGGCACTTTAAAGATATTAATATTTTTACGTTTAGGAGCTACAAGAATCAATACAAACAGGAAATACATTTATACAGGAAAAGACATTTTTCCAAACTTCTAAGCTTCCAGCAACATATACCTTCATCAGGAAGGGCTTCAGTCATTTCGTGACGAACCACATATGTTTTCTTTTCAGGGAAAATTTCTTGGGGAGCTTCAGGCACTTTAAGAAATCAGTATTTTAACATTTAGTGTTGCAAAGATCAGTAGGAACAGCAAAATATTTTCAAAGACTACAGGAGCTATTTCTTCTTGAACTTGACGGCATGGGGACTTGTACCTTTAACTGATGGAGGTTCTCTTTTTTTGGAAGGAACTCTTTTTGCAGGAACACCTTCTTGAGCAGCTTCTGGCACTTTAAAGACATTAGTATTTCACATTTAGGAGTTAAAATGATTAATGAAAACAATAACCACAATATGTTAGCAAATGTAGTTTTTTAGAAGTTTCTTCTCTGCCTATTCTCCCCTTGCCCCACCAATCAACTAAGTTGAATGGGATTAGCAGCATCCTTGAGAAGATGGGCTCACCCTTCTCCAGCAACTAGTGGATGTCCTATGACCCTGTAGATCCTCCTTATGAAGTATTTGTTGAATGAACACTTTTAATAGGAGGGTTTTCTGTTTTGATAGGAACAGTCACACATATTTTCTTTTGAGAGGGAACTTCTTGTGGAGCTTCTGGTGCTTTAAAGATATTAGTATATTTACATTTAGGAGTTAGGAAGAACATTAGAAACACATAGTTTTAAGAACCAAAGACAGACAATTTCTTCAGTATCTGTTCAGAGGTGACAGGTACCTTTCACAGGTGGAGGTTCTGCCTCTTTAGGAACATCCTCAGATACTTTCATTTCAGGAGCAACTTCTTGCACAGCTTCAGCTACTTTGAAGATATTAGTATTATATTATACTTAGAGGTTAAGGGATCAGTGGAGACATTAATGACATTAACTGAACCAAAGTGACTTTTATGTCTACAAGGGTGCTTCCTTCAAGAACTGGATGAGGTACAAAGTCTTGAAGAAAGGAATCAAATCTTGTCTTTGTTTATATTCCCCAGCTCCCCAGCACCATGCACATAGTAGGCATTTGTTAAATAAATGAAGGAAGGAATGATAGAATGAATGATACCTTTAGTGGAAGGTGTTTCAATTTCAGGGGGAGCAGCTATGACTATTTCCTTTACAGGGACAACTTCTTGAGGTGATTCAAGCACTTTAAAGATATGAATTCATTGTACTTCAGAGTGATGAAGAGCAATGAAGAGTTTTAGTCAAAACCCCACCTACAGGAATGTCACAGACTGGGTGACCTCCCTGCTCCCCAAATCTGATTCTTTGGTAAAAGTATGAATACTTGATTATCGGGAGCTGTTTTCTTGGTCACCTCAGGCACTCTCAATATTAGTAATTTTATTTCTTTGAATGGTAGATACATAGGAACTGAGATAAAAATTTACCTTTAAGTGAAAAAAACTGATTTTTAAATAATTAACAATGTAACTTTTGCTACTAGCTTGAAGAGGATAAAACAGCTCCTTACCTGGATTGGCTTTATTTTCTTAGAAGTTATGAGATCACTGGAGCAAACATTTTCAAGAGCAGAAGAGCTATGCCTTTTTAGGCCTAAGGTTTGTGGCAAATACCTGTAACAGGTGGGACTTCTGGCTTTTTAGGAGGTGCCACTGGTGCTTTCTTTTCAGGGAAAACCTCTTTGGGAGCCTCAGGCACTTTGAAGATATTAGTACATTTACATTTGAGTCATGAGGATCAACACAGACAAGAATCACATTTACACAGCAAAAGCACTTTCAAGGCTAGCAAGGCAGTTCTTTCCACAGCCCTCTCTATTCCCTCCTGAGGGGTTGTTAGGATGTACCTTTGACAGATAAAACTTCAGGCTTTTGGGGAGCATGCACTTTCTTTTCCCAGACAACTTCTTCGGGCACCTCAGGCACTTTAAAGATATTAATATTTTTACGTTTAGGAGCTACAAGAATCAATACAAACAGGAAATACATTTATACAGGAAAAGACATTTTTCCAAACTTCTAAGCTTCCAGCAACATATACCTTCATCAGGAAGGGCTTCAGTCATTTCGTGACGAACCACATATGTTTTCTTTTCAGGGAAAATTTCTTGGGGAGCTTCAGGCACTTTAAGAAATCAGTATTTTAACATTTAGTGTTGCAAAGATCAGTAGGAACAGCAAAATATTTTCAAAGACTACAGGAGCTATTTCTTCTTGAACTTGACGGCATGGGGACTTGTACCTTTAACTGATGGAGGTTCTCTTTTTTTGGAAGGAACTCTTTTTGCAGGAACACCTTCTTGAGCAGCTTCTGGCACTTTAAAGACATTAGTATTTCACATTTAGGAGTTAAAATGATTAATGAAAACAATAACCACAATATGTTAGCAAATGTAGTTTTTTAGAAGTTTCTTCTCTGCCTATTCTCCCCTTGCCCCACCAATCAACTAAGTTGAATGGGATTAGCAGCATCCTTGAGAAGATGGGCTCACCCTTCTCCAGCAACTAGTGGATGTCCTATGACCCTGTAGATCCTCCTTATGAAGTATTTGTTGAATGAACACTTTTAATAGGAGGGTTTTCTGTTTTGATAGGAACAGTCACACATATTTTCTTTTGAGAGGGAACTTCTTGTGGAGCTTCTGGTGCTTTAAAGATATTAGTATATTTACATTTAGGAGTTAGGAAGAACATTAGAAACACATAGTTTTAAGAACCAAAGACAGACAATTTCTTCAGTATCTGTTCAGAGGTGACAGGTACCTTTCACAGGTGGAGGTTCTGCCTCTTTAGGAACATCCTCAGATACTTTCATTTCAGGAGCAACTTCTTGCACAGCTTCAGCTACTTTGAAGATATTAGTATTATATTATACTTAGAGGTTAAGGGATCAGTGGAGACATTAATGACATTAACTGAACCAAAGTGACTTTTATGTCTACAAGGGTGCTTCCTTCAAGAACTGGATGAGGTACAAAGTCTTGAAGAAAGGAATCAAATCTTGTCTTTGTTTATATTCCCCAGCTCCCCAGCACCATGCACATAGTAGGCATTTGTTAAATAAATGAAGGAAGGAATGATAGAATGAATGATACCTTTAGTGGAAGGTGTTTCAATTTCAGGGGGAGCAGCTATGACTATTTCCTTTACAGGGACAACTTCTTGAGGTGATTCAAGCACTTTAAAGATATGAATTCATTGTACTTCAGAGTGATGAAGAGCAATGAAGAGTTTTAGTCAAAACCCCACCTACAGGAATGTCACAGACTGGGTGACCTCCCTGCTCCCCAAATCTGATTCTTTGGTAAAAGTATGAATACTTGATTATCGGGAGCTGTTTTCTTGGTCACCTCAGGCACTCTCAATATTAGTAATTTTATTTCTTTGAATGGTAGATACATAGGAACTGAGATAAAAATTTACCTTTAAGTGAAAAAAACTGATTTTTAAATAATTAACAATGTAACTTTTGCTACTAGCTTGAAGAGGATAAAACAGCTCCTTACCTGGATTGGCTTTATTTTGTACCCTCACCTTAGGCACTTTATTTTATTTTATTTTTGGCTGCATCAAGCAGCTTGCAGGATCTGAGTTCCCTGACAAGGGGATCGAACCCATGTTCCCTGCAGTGGAAGCATGGAGTCTTAACCACTGGACCCCCAGGGAAGTCCCTTAGGCACTTTAAAAAGGTGATTGTTTTTCAAGTAAAGGAGGAAGGAGAACAACTAAAATATTTCAGACAGAGAAAATATTGTCAAAATGTTCAGATATTCTTTAAATTACAGAATATCATGGGTATTGTGACGAATTTTTGGAGATGTTTTAAAACATTCTCATCTGTTGATTTATCTGAAAATATTGAAAATGAGAAAGCGCAGGACTCTTTAAAAATAAAAGACAATGAGAGGAGCAAATAAATATTCAGGGCAGAATTCCAACTTTAACTGGTTTTGGTTTTAACTGCCCTGGTTTTAGAAGGCTCTCTGGTAGAGATGATATTACAGATAGAACAGTTCCACAGTGAATTTAATATTTTATTTTCTTTAAGTCATGGTTTTCTAAAAATATTTATATGATATTTAAGTCTTAGGGGAATTCAGTTATTTCAAAATTATGCGCTTGTTTTTGGTAGTAAGTTTATTTTAATAGAAGAGCAATTCAACAGGTAGTTGTATTATATCCTGGAATTTCAACCCCATGGAGTGTTTGAATTACTAACCTATAGTCTACAGCCAAGCACCTCTGTCATTTTACAGCACTGATTTCTGCTTTAGAGCACTGTGGGGTGAGCCTATTCAGTCTAGTTTCAGGGATATAAATGTTATAGGTGATCTCGCATATAGATTTTTTTTTTCTAGCTAGTCTGAATTTTATTTTCTAAGGAAACAGCAATAGCTATTTCCATCTGGGTCACATCTGCACATTATATGTATATATATTTTCCCTGGAGGGCTCATAGATAAAATTTATAGCCCAAGCATCTCCATGTGTATAAAGTTATGGACTTTTCCCCCTTACGACTCATGGGGACATGTATATACCCAGTCGAGCTGCTACTTTGGGGGACCCACTTGTCTGAAGTGATCTCCCTGGTAGCATCTGGAGCTTTAGAGGTATTAGTATTTTTACATGTGGTGAGTACAACTACAGTCATGAGATAAGAAAGTCAACCTTCTTCTGGCTTGTACCTTTTGGTGGTGGTATTTTTCTTCTTTTGGTAACAGGAGGTTGTCTCTCTGGAACATCTTCCTTGGAGACTTCCAACTCTTTAAAGATATTAGTATTTTTTAATTGAGAAAGGCAAAGACATGAAGATATGACTTACAAAGAAAGTTAGGGATATTAGCAGATATTATAACCTTTAATTAGAAATTTTATTTTTGTTCTAATGTTTATTCATTATATGAGTGGGATTTGACTTTTTAGGAGCAAGTCATAGATAGTTCCTTGTCTTGGGTACATTAGGGACACTAAAGATATTAGTATTTTAGCATTAGAGGTCGTGAAAATCTACACAAAGCAGTGAACAAATTTGGCAGACTGATGAAGAAAGGTTTTCTTATTTAGATTTTTGCAACTAAGAATTATACCTTCAGTTGGAAGATGCTCTGGAATATTGGGAACAGCCTCAGGTAACTCCACCTCTGGAAATACTTCTCTGGTTGTATCAGGCTCTTTAAAGATATTAGTAGGTTTACACTTAGAAGTTATAAAAACAGTAGATTATATAACATGCAATTTTTGAGTCTTGAAGCCAAAGATATTCATCCAAGTTTGATGTTGTTGGAATGTACCTTTAGTTGCTGGTGTTTCTCTCTTTTTAGGAATAGTCACATATATCTTGTCCTCTGGAACAACTTTCTTGGGTGGTTCAGGCACTTAAAAGATATGAGTATAGTTATATTTATAAATGGTGAAGGAAAGTACTGAGCTTTTAAAATGAGCCTAAAATAAATTTTCTTCACTGGGTCATTGGTATTATATACCTTTTGCTACTTTGGTTTTTGTCTTTTGAGGATGAGTCACAAGTACTTTTTCTTCTGGAGATGATTCTTCAGATACTTCATAAACTTTAAAGATGTTAGTATTTACACAATTAGAGGCATTTCAAGGTGGATGAAGAATAGTGTTAAGAAAAACATAATACATAATACACATCGATAACTCAAATGACTAGTACTACATAGATCCAAGTTAGTGACAATAACACACTGGCTAGGAAAAAGCCTCATTCCCAGTTTTATGATATAGGACTTTTCAGCATTTCTTTATGATCATGATGGTAAAAT